TTTACGTTTTTTAATTTAAAAAATATATACATTATTTTTAATTATTATTATTATTTATTGTTTTTAATTACATATTTTATATATAGTTCCTGGCAAAAAACAATGTAGACATGTTCCTGTTTTAAGTTTTCTACATCGTCTAACAATCTAGCCGTTTTTCCGCTACTTTTCCTTTTGATTGTCCTTTTGGTTGCCATTTTATTTTAACTTGTTAAAAAAATTAATTTGTATGCATCTTTTATGATTGTCTATTGTTGTCGTTGTTGTCATCACTCTGTTAAAAATTCAGTTCTGTCTTGTAAATATTCCCCGGGGCTCAATGGGATCAACCTGTATAAATAAAGGTTCAAGTTGTGTTTATCTATGTTTGTAAAATTTGTAATTGTATTTTAGATCATTATTAGGTTAAAATCCGTGTACATTTTGATGTTCAGACCAGTTAATACGCAGCTAAATCCTGCAAAGCTTTAAAATCAGTTGATTTATCCTGTTTAATTCACTACACCAGTTGTCTTCATCTAAGTGAAGGACGGCAATGTGAAATGGTGAAAAGGGTAATGTGTTGAAGTTAATTGTTACTCGTGAGAAAAGGAAACAAGGTTTATGGAAAAGAAAGGTAATGTAAAGCATTAATATTGTACACTGTTAAGTAAACGCAATCTGGATGTTAAAAGCAGCGCTTCAGTCGTCATTGCTCTCTCCCGTTTTATTATTCTTCAGATTGTGCACTTCACTGTTGCAGCGGTCCGGACACTTCGGACCTGCAACAGATCGTGGATGTGGAGGTTGAATGAATATATGAGAAGCCACTGTCCTAAACAATCCGTATACCAAAATCCAAGCCTTCAGGGCTGTTAAAATTAAACCTACTCAAGAACTCATGCATAAACTCTGCAACATTGCAGGAGGTAGAGGTTGTAATTCACTGGACTGCAACTGTTGGACACTAGTCAGCTACTCAAAACAGAGAAAAATGTGAATTTTTGGTTGTGTTCCCACTGATGTCTGAGATTTTGAGACCAACCAACAAACCAGTGAGGTGTGATGCTGCATTATGAGAAGCCAAATAATAAAATAAATGGTCTATTGTTGTGGCTTCTCGTTCTAAAACTGTATTCTAGGCAGTGCACGTTGTTTTGTTGCTCACTTTTGCCCACGTTGTAAACGTCTCAGCCCACTTTGTATCAACTTTTTGAAATGAAAATAGGCAGATTTCAAGTAGTTTATTTATTTTTTGTTCCATTCAGGGGACAAAATAAAGATCTAGAGTTTATAGACACCTACGTTGAGAAGGATTTGAAACAGGACCCTCGTGGCAGCTCTGACAATATTAAAACAATAAAAAGTCACAAACATCTTTTGAACACGTTTAAAATGAATCAAGTCTGAAAGCCTCTGTAAAACAAGAACTTAAGAACGCCCCTGAATGTTTCGAGACATTTTGGAGACCCTCGTGAATACAGCTCTCCAACTAGTCTCCCAACAGTTGCAGCTCAGAGAGACAAAGATGTGAAACTGTAAATAAGCAAACAAAAGAGAAAAGAAGAAAATAGAATTGGTCTGATCTGTATTGGAAGGAAACTGATTTCCCTCAAATTCACCAAACATAATCCAGCTCTGACTTTGGTGCCGTGCTTCTTCATGTTCTCAGGTTCCATCACTTTGCAGATAAGACTCAAAAAGCACTTTTTTTTCACGTTTTCTTCTGCTGTCTCTCAGCCGGCTGTCGATAAAAGCCGTGTGTATTCCGCGCAGTTAGTCAAATTTGTATTTGAATACTTGAAACCTTCAGTCTTCCACAGCCTCTTGAAGCTGCAGATAGACCTCCTAGTTAAACAAGTAATGACAGGCGTGGGTGTTAACCTCGACGCACGCGTGCAGCAGCTCGCTGAAAGGTTCGAGCCGGCACCTGAATACTCTTTTCTCGTCTGTATTCCCAGTGCAGCCCCCTCGCTCGGTGCCCCCTCCGCCGTGGAGCTGCAGTGGTAATTGGGTATGACATGGGATCAACAGGGAGAGAGCGAGGACGCATTTGAATGCGTCGACTGTCGTCTTCCTCGCTCCTCTTTTCAAGCCGGCTGCCTTGCAGCTTCCCAGCCTCAGCTCACCGCTGTTACCGTAGCAACATCTGCACGACCGCATCCCCCACTCTCCCTCCTCCACCCTCTGTGGCATTTCTTTTATTAAGATTGGCCACAAATGCCCAAATGAAGTGTGTATGTGAGGTGCATTGCAGCAGAGCACTGCCAGTTTAGCTCCCAGCTCCGAGGCCAGAACTACGGTTTCACAGATTTTAAAACTACAACCAAAATAAAAAAAAGACAGAAAATTACCTGGAGCAGAGAAAATGTATCCACTTGAGCCTAACTTGTTACGTCAAGTCAAATAGATTATTTCCAACATGGGAGCATCTTACTCAAGGTGGACAGCCTCAGCTCCACGAGCCACACGTCTGCTGCTAATCACTTCACCCTGCTGCCTTCTATCACAGCTCCTTTTCTTCTTCTGCAAAAATAATGTTTTCAGAGGTAAATGATTGTATCTGAAACCTTTCTATTAGTCAGAAATGTTCCTTGATTAAATTTCTGGTCAGGGCGAAGGACAAAGCCATTCTAATTATTGCTTTGTTACCCGGCGCCAGCTGAAGTCGAGAACTCAGCTGTTTTAAAGAAAGGCCGAAATGAAATTTTTAATTTAGAAACTAACTTCGTGACGCAAGCCCATTTTCTTTGAAAGACTTCTGGTTTAAAATTCACAGTTAGACATTGTTAGCATGACCTCAAACAAGAACGCTTCATTCCAAATTACCTTTTCTTCTTTAGTTCAAAACATTACAAGCATAAAACTATTATTTTCTGTGTTTATTAAAATATTGAAAGCTACAATTATAAGCCTCTTTAACTGATCTGTAAATGTAACATGTATTTTCCAGCTTTAGATTATGAATCATTCAGTTCAGTTAATTTATATAGTGCCAAGTCACAACAGACGTCATCTCAGGGCTCTGAACAGAAACATTCATGTATAAAAATAATCATTTATCTGAGGAGCAGACTGCTTTGAGTTTAACTCCATAACAGAACTCTCATCTTGAGCAAGCATGAAGGTGACAGTGGAAAGAAAAAGTCCCTCATGAGGAAGAAACCTATAGCAGAACCAGGCTCAGGACACGCGGCCATCTGCTTCGACCAGCTGGTTTGAGAGGAACAGATACACAATGGCAGGTCAAGAATCACATGTTAAGATAGAAATAGTATCAAATGAAAACTATTCAATTTTAATAATTCATTTAAGGAAATGAGGTCAATTTGTCCTTCAGAAGTCTAAGCCTATAGCAGCATAACAAGCCCTAACTATAGGATTTATCAAAAAGGAAAGTCTTAAAACTGGACAATGTGTCAGCCTCAAGGACACAAACTGGAAGTTGGTTCCACAAGAGAGGAGCCTGATAACTGAAAGATCTTCCTCCCATTCTGCTTTTGGAAACTCTGGGAACCACGAGTAAACCTGCAGTCTGACAGCAAAGTGCTCTGTTGGGAAAATATGGAACAATAAGATCTGTAATATAGCATGGAGCTAGGTTTTTGAGAGCTTTGTAGGTTAGAAGTAAGATTTTGAATTCAAGTCTGGATTTGACAGGGAGCCAGTGGAGAGAAGCTAAAACTGGAGAGAGATGATCTCTCCCACTAACTCGCTCAGGAAAACCCTGACAGAGAGAGCAGCCAAAAGGAAGAAACATTTTAAAAATCACAGATTAATCTGAGACAACATGCAATGTACAATTAGAGATTAGTCAAGAAAATAATCCTTATTCTTCTAAAGTCTGTCTTACGATCCTTAAAGAATGAGTACAGGAAAGATGGTGACAAATATATATATATATATATATATATATATACACGTATATACACACCAAAAATGAAAAATATTGCTACTTTACAATGTACTAATTGATAGTTTGTAATAGTTAAAATGAAGCTCTAAACGCTTCATAAACCAATAAGTGCATTAGCTAAAAAGGACAATATTGATTTTTTTTTTTTTTTTTGCCAAATAATGAGCCAATATTTATTTTTACTTTTTATCCTCAATGGTTACCTATATTTTTCACATATATATATGTAAACATCAAACATTTTTCAATTAATTAGCTCCATGTAATCACTATGGGCATTTGTTGGTGCACTTTTTTTGTGTGTGTGTTTTGTTTTTAGCAATGTGCACATAATTAGATTTACCTGAATAAATAAAATCACAACACCTGATGTGTTCCCCCCAAAAAAACAAATAAAACTAGAAAAGATTTGGCAATTATTTTATGCTGGCTGTCCTTCCTGAAGCAACCTGGACTTGAACCTGCGGCCTCAGGATTAAGAGGCTGTGGCACTGACCACAAAGCTACCGGGACCTTCTAAAAACATTTGCATTTTTAGTTACCTTTTTAAAAAATTCAACAAGTAGAATATAGCAGGTATAAAATTTAAATTCATCATATGACATTGTTTTATGAAGAATAAAATATAATAGATACAAAAAAATTGTGTTTGTTTAGATGAACTGATTAATCTAGGAAAAGCAAACATGAAATAGATTAACAGTTTGAAAAGGAAGAACTAAGAACACAAGAACATCATAGGCAATGAATGTTTTAATAAAATCAGCCGTACACACGTGATGGATGCAAGTCACAGCCAGGATTACCTGAGCTCCTCTCTGTGTTGAAGAAAAATTACAACACAATAAACCTCAAAATAAATAAACAAACCAATTCTCCTTTTAGTCTGAGATCAAAATGAAATTTCTTTGCACTCCATTCAGCACACTTCAGAAATTTGTTTAACTTTAATCCCTTTAAAAGCTGCAGAGGATTGGACGGGAACACAGTTATACATTTGGCAGATAGAGAAGTGACCCTGAACGCATCTTTACATCTCTAATTTATATGGCTGAAATAAACTGACTCTGACAACGGACATAAACCACGTGCACGCACTCTTTCAAAAGCCTCCCTGCAGACACCAGCAGTGTTTTAACATAATACTGCAGATAAATAGCATAATAACGTTAACAAAACAAGGCATGCTAAAAGCAAATCAATTCTCTCAATCCTAATAAGAACATAGCAAATGCTACTTTTAGCGTCCAACGACAAATCTTCATCAAGTGTAGCTTTTACCCTTTCTTCCCACTCTTCATCCACGGTTGACAAGCATAGTCTGAAAGAGAAAAACAAGACAAAAAAGGAAAATTAGACTATTTGCACCCCCTGCAACACCTTCTGACCTTTGAGATGCTCTAAAGTGCACAGAGTGTGCCTTTTTTTTTTTTTTTTTTGTCCACACTTTTTCACCTTTAACTGAGCACAACTGAAAGGTCAGATTGAGTAATAATAGGGATTATCTCAGTAATGGAGCAAAGACAACCTGTTGACCTGCGTTAGACCGCTACTTCAGAGGGGTTTTCAGACCGTGATGGATTAAATCAAATAATATGGAGGAACACAATAAGATGGGATTTTCCTGAGTGTGTACGCTTTATTTTGGCAATTTTTTTTTTTTTGTCTTCCTGTCAATTCAGAATTTAATTCAAAATTTTACTCCTAATCTACAAAACCCTCAACAACATAGCTCCATCTTACATTACAGATCTTATTGTTCCATATTTTCCGAACAGAGCACTTAGCTCTCAGACTGCAGGCTTACTCGTGGTTCCTAGAGTTTCCAAAAGCAGAATGGGAGGAAGATCTTTCAGTGATCAGGCTCCGCTCTTGTGGAACCAACTTCCTGTTTCTGTCCGTGAGGCTGACACATTGTCCAGTTTTAGTTAGGGTTGACTTGTTATGCTGCTATAGGCTTAGACTACTGGAGGACAAATTGACCTCATTTTCTTAAATGATTTGCTAAGATTGAATAGTTTTCATTTGATATTATTTCTATCTTAACATGCGATTCTCGACCTGCCATTGTGTATCTGTTCCTCCTTCCTGCTCCTCTCAAACCCAGCCAGTCGAAGCAGATGGACGCTTGTCCTGAGCCTGGTTCTGCTAAAGGTTCCTTCCTCATGAGGGAGTTTTTCCTTTCCACTGTCGCCTTCATGCTTGCTCAAGATGAGAGTTCTGTGATGAAGTTAAATCCAAAGCAGTCTGCTCCTCAGATAAAAAATGTTATTGTTTATGTATATGAATGTTTCTGTTCAGAGACCTGAGATGACTTCTGTTGTGATTTGGTGCTTTATAAATAAACAGAATTTAATTCAATTCAATTCACTTTTGGAAACTCTAGGGACCACGAGACAGCCTGCAGTCTGAGAGCGAAGTGCTCCGTTAGGAAAATATGGAACAATACGATCTCAAATGTAAGATGGAGCTAGGTTGTTGAGGGCTTTGTAGGTTAGAATTAAGATTCTGAATTCAATTCTGGACAATGGAGAGAAGCTAAAACTGGAGAGATATGATCTCTCCTACTAACTCCAGTTAAGACTCTGGCAGCAGCAATTGAACTGATTTTGTAATTGAATGCAACTACTTGTTGAACGATGTCTAATTTAGACCGCTAGAATCTGAATCTGCACAGTTACTTTTGTTTTCTGGGTATTTCTGGGGTATTCTGGGGTTTCGTGACTTGGTACATGGCAGAAAGCAGCAGCTGGAAGCAGCGATACATATTTAATAAAAATTTAAAAAATCTTTCTGTGTAAATATTTCATGTTACATCATGAACACCCACAGCTTATATACATACAAAGTATTATTGTTATTATTATTATTATTATTTTTGTGTGCGGCTTGTATTCGGGTGTACTCTATAATCCGGAAATTACGGTATATTCATAATGTGTACCTAGATACTGTTGTTGTTGTTTTTTTGGTTTGTTTGTTTTGTTCTTAGTTTCAATTCCTATTTCATAAATCAGAAATATTAAAAATAATTAGTGTCACACAAATAAAAAGCTCCTCAATCATGTGAAATTTTGAGCCATTCTGTCATGGCTCCTGCTCCTCCTTGCCTCTCTGCCATTTTACTCTAGCTTGTTTCTATAGTAACCCAGAAAGCACCACCATCTATATCGACCAGTAGATGTTAACCTGCAATTATTTTTCTGACAAAATCTCAGAATGTGCAATCCAACCACAGCAAGAAGCCCTTTTAAACCTCTATAAGTACATTATAATTCACATATATGGTATTATTTAATGGTGTAATGGTTTATATGCTTTTTCTTAAACCATTATGTCATTTTTAATAAAATGTAGTACCTTGCCAACAACATAATGGATTCCTCAACAGTTGGTCTAACTGAATATCACTCCAGAGATAAAGTAGTCACTGGCTATGGAAAGTTGCTGAGGTTACGTCACACAGTGTACCAGTTTAGGTCTGGGCTTTCATAATAAGCCTATTTTCATTTCATGTGGCTCTGGCCAGTAGATCAGCAAGACAGAATGATAGAACTTTAGAGAAAAAGAAGAGGGACAGAAGCAGATCACTGTAGGAGATAGAAAGAGAAAAACAAATAACCAACGAGAAGTCAGGGGAGCAGAAGAAGTCAGCCTGCTCCCCATTTTGCAGAATCCAGCTTGGGAGCCTTGACTCAATTGGAAATCCATTTTATCTGATGACTGGCAGGCAATTGGAAGTCCCAGGTGGTAGGCTGTGGCTCTGCGGTTGATAGACCTGACCACTCCAAACTGCTGAGGGATGAAGGGATGGAAGGACGGAGCAGAATGTGGGGAACAGCATTCACAACAAACACTGGCTTCACTAACAAAGTTCATTTCAAGCTACAACTAGCGGCTGGCTTACCTACACTTTGATCAAAAACACAATAAGTAGCATTTCACCAATATTTCAGTTAGTTCACAACTCAAAATCAGCAAATGAATCCGATCAAAGTTAAATTACAGTAGTCCCCCTCAATACTTTGTGGTTCAACTTTTGTGGACTCCCTCTTTCGCAGGTTTTAAACTAAGAATGTACACGACACGATCGTCAACTTTAATATTACTCATGTGATTGGGACTGTATGAGATAAAATGTTAATGGTAGTGGTCGAGAGCAGGCCATTTTGTAGTTTTCTAAGCATTTATAAGCCTATACTGTAACGTAAGTCAAAAGAACTACACGGCCCAGAAGCCAACAGTGCTTCCAGCTGCTGTTTTCTGCCAAAATTCAAAGAACAGTGATGGAGGGACCAAACTCTAGCGGAGAAACCGATGTGGTAAAAATAGTTTTGCAACACAAAGTCAGAAGTAACGCTCTAACTAGCTCACAGAACTGGCAGGAAAGTCACAAATAGTCCTGAAGCTGAACTCATCATTCAAGTTGTAGTATCTTCACTGGTGAGTACCCATATAAAAATGTGCAGTACTGTACAGTACATATATGTATGTTGTTAAAATTACATAGGTTTAAGAGTTTAGAACATTTTTAAGAATATTGTCAGAGTATAGGAAGGGCTTAAAAAGCCTTAAAATATATATATATAAATTAATATAATTTTCCTACTTCGCAGATTTTCACACATCGTGGTGGTGTCTGGAATGTAATCCCCGCGATAAGTGACGGACTACTGTATTGCGTAATAAAGTTAAGTCAGGTCCTCTGGACGGATTAAAAATAAAAATAAAATAAAAATTGTTGAAAGTTTTTTTTTTTTTATATCAAAAGACTTTGTCAGTCTAAGGAGCTGCAATAAACTCAGGCTTATAAATAGCACCTTTCTATAGTGGATCGTTGATCCACTATTCATAATTTATAGATCGTCCATCAGGAGTCAAAGGTTTGATTCCTGGCAGTATCGTCACATGTCAAAGTGTCTCTGAAAAAGACAATGAAGGTTGTTTCCTCGTCTGATAGTCTGGTAGACTCGGTTTGATTGGGGACCAGAATTCGGAACATTTGTTTACATTTTCAGCTGGTGCAGTTTGCATTCACACTGCACTGAGCCCATCGAGTCAACCCCCCCCGCCTGCGGTGGCACTGCATGAAGAACTACTGAAGGAAACAACATGCAAACCTCTGAAGAAGACACTGAGTGCAACTTACTTCTGGAAATAAAAACAACAATGGAGTGGTGTAAAATTTAAGTGGTTTTAGGATTTCTGTTTTGTCTCTGGGACTCATGTGCCAAACAAACATTTTTCAACAATGGACTCAGCATGAACGGAAGACGAGACAGAATACCATGGACAATGCTGGTTTTCACACAAGGTGGCTGAGATGGCGCCATATGAGAAATGCACGCTTGTTTTGGTTGTGTTTACACACAACGCCCTGCGCTGTAGTCAACTTCCTGCTTTTGGAGCAGTCTCCGGTCCGCTTGCATTCACTGCATTCAAACCGCGCCAGAGTTCACTTCAACCAAACTGAGACCTGGGTTTTTAGGAGGACCAGAGTTCGCTTTTTGGTCAACATCAGAGTTCGATTGCGCATTCACACCTCCCCAAACGAACCAGACTTTCTAGGCAAATGGACTAGAGTTTGATTAAAGTGGACTAAACAGGGCTGGTGTGAATGCACCCTAAAGCGCCATAATTTAAATTAGCATTGTAGCCATGTAGTAAGGTGCTGTATGATGTTTGTGTGTATGGGGAGGTGGGGGTTGGACGGGTATATGATGGCACAGATTGTGTTGAAAAGCACTTCGAGCAGCCTGATTGGCTAGAAAGACCCTATAGAAGTACAGTCCATCTATCATTTATGATAGTAACACATTCTTCATTTACAAAAAAAAACAATCAGAAGCATTTTATAGAATATTTTTTTACAAGTCATGAATGACAGGTTCAGATATCTTGTTTAATACAGTGAATGAAAGAAACTGCCTTTGGAATATTTAATAAAGAAACCTGTAAATCTGTGCAACACAACTTTGAATAAACACTTTCTAAGGTTCTACTGGAAAATAAACTTGTCAGCATAGCTCTAGGTGCAAAAAACAATGCCCTCATATTTATTTATACAAAAGGGCCACAGAAGAAAGCAAAAATTGATTTCAGGAGAACTGCGTGTGAATTGGAATGCCATCACAAAGGAAAAGCACGCTTGAAATCATAAAGAAAAAGAAGCAGAGAGACAGATGGATTGACTGACAACGGGACACAAAAGAGCCTGGTAGAAAGTGGATTGTTTCGATAATGTTGTGGCTGTTTGAAGGAGACAAAAGCCGGAGAAAAATCCACCTAAAAGCTCTGCTGCTGTTCTCCCTTATCCCTGCT